TTTATTAATACTTGATATCCTTCAAACACTTAAATGAAAATTTGGAAGTTTAAAAACTATGGTACAAATAAAAAAAAAATTAAAGTAAAAAAAAATTTTCTAACAAAATATGACGGTTACAAGAACATATTCGAATACTTAACGTCAAAACGGAATTTTAACGATATAGTATTCTATAATAGTATTTTCTTTTAATATTTACATAATATTATAAAGCGTGAAAATTTCATACGTTCGTCGGTAATAGTAATGATGAACATATACATTACATGGAATGATAATGTTTACATTATATCTGTGTTGTGTATACAAAATATAGTATTTCACTAGAAGGTGGTAATAGTAATATTACTGCACAACGGTATGCGGAAAGTGGCTCTTTTTGTCTTAGTCTACATAATACACTCGAAATAGACATTTTTCATCAATTAAAATCACAATTATAATTATTTTTATTTTTATGAACTGTTTGTCACGTTTTGTTTAAAAAATGAAAACAGTTTCAAGCCTAGGAGTATTGTCCGCTAAATATAAACAACTTAAATAAAGTTTTTAGAAATCACGTATAAATCAAAGCGTTAAATACACTATAGTATCGTACTTAGGAATAGCGCCAACCGATTCTGCCACCCCCAATGACCTATTTCGCCCATAAATTTTTTTTTTCTGTATATGAATGAGTAAAAAAAAAAAAAAAAACTATGACTTCTCCATAACGAAATAACTGGTTTTCTTCGGATTTCAAAACGTTCAATGGCGAACTTAAAATACTCTTATTCCGTTTGATAAAAAGTTTATATACCATAGAGGTTTGCCATAAGAAAGCACATGATTGTAAAAAGCAGTAAATTAAAAGCAAAATTAGCAGTAGTATATTCAAAGTTCAGTACTTTTTTTAGACGATTAAAAATTAACTAAAGTTTAGTTCTTATTGGATCGATTTTCCTAATCGAAAATTAACTACAAGGGCACTGTACTCGTACTGACACAGTAGCAGCTACCAACATTGGACTAATATTATCATATATCTGGTATGACAATGTTTTTGCGTACTGACAAATCAGTAGTGGAAATTTTGTATAATCAGTAACATGGCATTACTCTGCCAACAATGGCAGCCTAGTACTAACCACCTATACTGGATCAGTACGAAGGACAAGACACCAACAAGTACTATGTTAGTACAGGTTAGCCAATGGTCCGTTATCAGTACTGATGAAATACATCGTCTGTTGTCAATACTGGTACATAAAAAAAAAAGACCAAGAAATAGGTGTTTTTTTATAAAAAATATTATTTAAACTATTTTTAAAAAGAAGTAGGTTAGTTTGGATAAAAGCAATTGACTCAGTTAATAAGGTGAGGGAAGTCGCCCTAAAAACAAATTTTTGCTACTTTTTTCACCCCTTAAGTATTTTTTGACTCTGGGAAAACTGATGTTAACTGACAAAACAGCTATACAAAAATTATATCGATACGACGTTTTGTTAGTTATTATATCTAATTTTCATATTCGACCCTTGTACTTTTAGTAGTCAGTATACGTTATTACCACGGATTAGATATTACCTATTGATTATAAAAATTATTTAATATAATATTAGAGTGCAGTATATAGTTTAATTTATATTAAACTATATACTTATATTTATATTTAATTTTAAAATCTTACTTATATGCATTAAATCGTATTAGACATTAATTCATTAAAAAATACTGCATTCATTATTAAAATTGTTTTTATTAAAAAATATTGTGCTTGCCCTCTTAAAAAATTGACTTGTTTTTTCCTATCCCTTAGAGAAAACATTCTAACGCTGTGCCTGATTTTATAACTTTATAAAAAAATAAATACTAATCATTTTTTTAATAATAAATATACACACATAATTCTGTGGCTATTTTAAAATAATGGTAAGAAACAAGTACAAAATCTATTCTGGTGGTTACAATTAATTACTATTGACTTATCTAAGGTCGAAGGCTGATCATGTGAAATTTTATCACATTTTTGTAAAAAAAATGATCAATTTTTGGAATTTTTTTCTGATAATTTTATTTGCAAATTTTACATTCCCATTCCAACAGAAATTAAATGCATTTGCATACCATACTTTAAAAATAATATAAGGGCATATATAATTAAATTCTATAAAAACAAATGAAATTCAAAGAATGCATTCATATAAGAACATTCTTTTCAAATACTGCTTCGCTGTAATTAAGAGTTATCAAAATTTAAATAGAAGATTGTTTTGAAAATAATTGTGTATAATACAAAATTTTCATTATTTATGTCACCTCTACGCTGTACTAGATCTTTATTGGGTGGATATAGGTAGAAATAATTGAATTATTTATTTAACATATTGATAACTTCTAAAAATTAAACTGATAATCAGAATTGATAATAAATAACAATAAAATTACTATTAAAGGATAGCGACTAAAGGTCAAGAATAAAACTTCCAATTAAATAAAATTTAGATCATCATTGTATTAATAACATTTTTAATTATGTAAGAACATCTAAGTTATCAATATCCAGTGTTAAAATGTTCATCATATACTATTAAATAATATCTATGAAAGTATCACATAATAAAATACTAAATTTCAAGTAAAGTAAAAATCAAGCATTTATATTTACAAATAACAACATTAATTGTAACAATAAAAACTTAAATTAATTATTTAAATATTATTTATAAATTCATTTTTAATAACTGTATGACTCCTTTGACATTTATTATTCATGTCTCATTAGTATTAATAAGTCATTATGACATCAATCACTGTATTTTTTTAATTTATTCAAAAACATTTTAATACCTATTGTAAAATTAATTTAGTTAAAGATATTAATGAAAAATTTAATTATTACACAACATTGATTCAGTTTTTTATTTAATAAGTTAAATATTACATAAAGAGGAATTTTAAAACTGATGCGAGTTTAAAGCCAGAAAATTCATTTTAACATAAGATAACATTACCTATTCAATTTTTTTTATCTCAAAGAAAAAATTTTGAATATATAAATAGAAAATTTTTTACTCTATAAGAATAATATTTATTTGATATAATTAACACATGTATTATCAACAAAAAGTAATTTGAAATCTAATATAGAATTAGATAATTCTGTAATCCTGATTATACTAAATAGGTTTGTAGATAAATAGTTGATCTTAACAAATGTTTTATTAAAAAATAGTAACACATGGATAAGTATACACACAATAAATTACACAAATAACATTTTATAAAACTCTGAAGACCTAAACATTTCAGTCAAATTTTTTATTTCATAATACAATAGCTTTTATAAGAATTTTACTGGTAAATTTAAACACATAATAAATAAATAGGATGATTAAATATTGTATAAATTATTCTGTATATTATTTTCCTTGTTTATTAATTACCAAATTCAAATTAAAATCTATAATTGCACAATTAGTTAAAAATATAATGCAGGACAGTAAATATTGTTTATACAGCTGGAACACATTACTTCCCCTTTTTACTTTTTTTAATAAATTTCTATTTTTATGCATTGTCGGATTTTTTTTTGTTAGAATATGACTAAGTGATAAAAGAGTAAGTAACAAAACAAGAAAACACTTTTATTTCACAACTATTCACTATTGAAAATAGAGTTAAGCAGAGAAAAACCCACTAAATTAAAAACAATGAAATACATTAATGCAATTAATGTTTCTTTCATAAAAAAGTTTACAAAAAAAATATTAAAATAAAACTACAATTAAAGACTTGTTGGTAATCAATGTTAACATTAGTATCAAAATTATAATAATGAAAACATTATTTATTAGCATTACTCTAATATACAGAAATGACAAACTTAATTAATTGAAAAATAAAAATAATATTGAGAATTTTTTTGGTTTCATTTAGTTCCTTATTTTTCTCAATTTAAAAATACTTGAGTATTTTTTATGTTCATCCCTTAAAATTTATAAGGGTCTCATTTTAATTTTTCAAAGTACAAGATACATAGTTAATTAATAGTTTATTTAATAGTAATGATATAATTAAAAAAATGACTAACTGACAAATAAAAAATTATTTCAGAAGATATCAACATATTTATAACTTGATGAGAGGAAGAGTACAGGGGGAAATGTTTAGTTATAAAAGTAGCAGTACATACTCTTCACTTACAGTCATTACTTTAAATTGATAATGACTTCTGAAATAGTTATTCAAATATTGTAATCGATTAGTTATTTCCTTAATTAGATCATTATTTAATAAATAAACTAGTTAATTATGTATGTTATCATCTGAAAAATTAATGTAAGACCCTCATAAAGTATTAGGGATGAGCATAAAAAGTACTATATAATTGATAAATTAAAAAAAACAAGGAACTAAAATAATAAAAAAAAAAAAAAATTCTGAATATTATTATTTTTTTTATTAATTAAGGTAGTCATAATAAATTAATTAACCTGTATAGTGCAAAACTAATTATTAATTTAACAATGAAGTATAGCTTTAAGGGTTATGATTGTTTACAATACAATTAACCTTAGTAGCTAAAGACAGTAATAAATAAAATACTTAATTAATTATGTAAACTAATATTCAAACATATTTATCATTGACCTTTCTATTTAATAAAATAATGATTTTAATGACTATTGATAAAAAATAAATTTATAAACCCATTAGTTATATTGCGTTGATTATACAAATTCAGTATTCAATTGAACTATGTTGTTAAACATTTATGTACATTTGAATTATTAGATTTAATGTGCTCTGTTTACACAACAATTGATCCCTATCATTTAAAAATGACAAGGTACAATTTACAATACAAGAAAAATTGTATTTGATTTATTCTATATCATTCTATGTATTTGGAAGATTTTAATTATTAAGTTTAAAACAAATTGCGAATGGAATCTGTCACAGTGCTATTAAAATAACTAATAACTAATAATTGAAAAATAATACAAAATAGTTACCTTTTATGGAAGATGAGATTTGAATCTATATTTCTATTAGTCTTCAACTGTAACTCTCGGTCCTTTAAACATTTAAAAATGTTTTATTTAGATGCTATCCCGGAAACGGACATTATTTCAACTGTCCGAAATACGTTTAATGATCATAAAAGTAAATTTATTAATATAAAGGAGTGGCTGTAAATAATCTGATAAAAATTTATAACCGGTAAAACCGAAAAATATTAAAATACTTTAATAACACTTAAAAATATATATTAAAAACACTACAAGAAACAATCAATGAAGTATTAAGAAATCATTTTTGTTAAATTTTGAAATTGACTAGAACTTCTGAATTTAGTTTTCCTTTTTCCAATATTTTCTCACTCCTGCAAAACAGTCACTCGCTCACTCGCTCTTGTGTCGATCTGCAGTATATCCCGCATTATCAATTATTGAACAGTGTACGTTATCATAAAACGATGCCGCTAATCATGGAACAAATAATACTCCGCATCCATTTTGTCCATGAACGCCGACGCCCGCACTTATTTTGTCTTAATCAATTACCAAAAATGAAAATTGTATATATTTTTTTTTTTTACAAATTTTTAGCACACAAAAAAATAAATACCAATTAACTGAGAAATTTCGAAATTTAAATTTTACCAATAAGAAATTATTATTAATGATTCATTATTTTAAACCTTGATTATTTTCGGTCTAAATAACATCACGGTGGTGTAAAAATTTAAAGACAACAGTGCCCTATATAAAATTGATATACGGAAGTTCGAGCTACGCTAATCGTAAAGAAAAAAATACTTACTTTAAAATTTTAGTTAAAATCTAAGATAGGTGAGTTAATAGAAATAATTAGCTCAATACGAATAATACTGATAATCAAAAGTAAAACATTAACTAATTATAAATTTAACTTAGTTTAAAAGAAATATATTTACATTATTAATTAGTTTGAGGATCTCATAAAATGTTAATTAATTTTTCTTTCTGATTTCCTTATTTGTGAACAACACTATTACAACAATATGAGTTGAAACCACAAATTCAAAAATTACTACCAGTCCTTCCTTTGGAAAAATTAAAAAAGCTATATTTATTATATAATATTAATTGATCATTTGTGGCTATTTACTCAAAATCAAAACTATTTTTAAAATATTATTAATATATTTATATTTATTATTGTATAATACATTATTGAGGATGAGGAAAAAGTCAATTTACTTAACACCTATGGTAAATATTTATAATAAATTTTAATAAATTTAATTTCGCTAAAAATTATGTTTTAGCCTATCTTATGTTCACCTATTATAAAAAATTTGATTTAGAATAATTTTAACTAAAATTAGGAGTTGGATCTGAAAGGGATAAATTGAACCCTAAAAATACTTAAGTATTTTATGATTTAGTAAGATAAAAACGTATTATTTAAGTGAAACTTCTTTAAAGAGTGTCCGAAAAAAAACAAATTATCGAGCGTCACGGTTGGCCGTAACGTTTTGTCGTCACGGTCGGCATAACTGTCGGCCACTGTCGTCCACGGTCGGCTATAAGGTATATTTTAAATTATAATTTAGCACCGTTTTTTCGAAAATTAAAGTAATTTTATTTAAAATATATTAAATAGATGCAAATTTTCACGCGATATCTTCATAACAAAAGAAGTTTCACTTCATCCGCGCGTATTCGTAACACGCACTGGTTTGATGTTATCGTTTGTACATGTAACTTACATATTATGAATCACAAGATCACCAAAATAATGTTCCCTTATTTAAAATACAAAGTAACCAACTCATAGATAAAACATACTTATTATAAATATTTTTAAGTAACGCCAACGCGCAATTCTCTCATTGCAATTAACCAATTAAAATAGAAGGCCTCAGCTTTTAAAATCACACTAGAGGTCTCTAAACTACCCCTTTTTGACTATAAAAAGGTATTTCCCCCTAAAAACCAGTTCTTTCAGTAACTTTAAAATGCACAAAACCTGCGACACTCTATATAAAATTATTGCTTACTAGGATTAAGTTTTTTTTTAACAACAAAGTATTGCGTAATAAATCATTAAGATAAATTATAAAATTTCAAGGGATATCTTAAGTTATTTATTTAATATTATTTAACCCCTGAGATACCAAAAATTTACCATTCTTTTTTACTAATATTTATAATTTCTACAGTTTATTCCTTTAATAATTATTTTATTTTTCATAATAAGTTAATCATGAATACTTAATATGATAGGGTTTACTATCGTTTAACGTATATTTATTATTATTTATCCCTAATAAGAAAAAAATTGTATTTTTTAAATTTATTAGTAATTATATATATTAATATTTATTTGTAACCTAGAACACTAAACAAAATTATTTAGGAATTTGAAAATATTACAATGATATCTAGCACAGACTAAATACTATGGTGAACATTTTTTTAAAGTATAGAATTTGCATTTAAAAATTCTCTACCAAACCAATTTATTTTTATACTTAGTTTTAGCTTCGATGCGAAGCTGAGAAGGTATTATTTTTACTAAGATGTGTTTTTTTTTTTTTTATTTGTACCATAGTTTTTAAACTTCCAAATTTTCATTTAAGAGTTTGAAGGATATCAAGTATTAATAAAATTAATAAATTATATATAAATATTCTATACATTATATACGTTATATAATACACAACCGTGTGATATAATCAAAATATCTTCTTAGAACTTTAACAATTTTTTTGACAACATATTAATCCGGTTTTAGAATTAAATACATTTTTCATTAAATATCCAGTGTATTAATTCTACATTTATTTCAAAGAATAGCTTATTGTTAACTATCGTCTTAAAAAGTATTTAAATTTTTATTGAAATTACTGATTCATAATATTAGCTTGGATGCAAAGCTGAGAAGGTAATGGTTTTACTATAATGCGTTTTTTTTATTTATTTATTTTTTTTTTGTGTGTCTGTTACCACTTTTTCTCAGCTCTCACCGAACCGATTTCTTTCAATAATACGTTAAAAGATCACAAATCGTATCTAATCGAAGACATTACCCTCAAAAATTGAAAAAATTTCCCTCGTTCCCCGTAAATGGGGGAAACCTCCAAAAAAATTACAAATTTAAAAATCGCTAAATTTTTCAATTTTTTCAATTTTTTTTATTAAAAACTGCCATAATTTTTTTAAAAATGGAAATATTAATATCATNCGTTCCCCGTAAATGGGGGAAACCTCCAAAAAAATTACAAATTTAAAAATCGCTAATTTTTTCAATTTTTTCAATTTTTTTTATTAAAAACTGCCATAATTTTTTTAAAAATGGAAATATTAATATCATTTTTTTTTATAGATACATAATGTTCTTACCTATCATTCATGTATGTATGTATGTCAGATATCATTATACTTGACCCAACTATGCCACGTTACCACACGTAACAGTCTTAAAGAAAAAACAAATAGTAAATTGATTTTAATATGAGTAAGAAATTCCTTATTGCAAGGTGAACTTACAGTGATGGGGTCTTTGATATTCATTGAAGTTATTCAATCTAAATGAGATAAAAGTTAAAAAAATTTTAAATTTTTTTTCACCTTAAAAAGACTTAAGAAAAATGACTTAAATAAAATGACTGGGGTTTGGAACCTCGTACCATGAGCATAAAATACTGAAGTGTTATCTACATGACAACCGTACATCACTAATTAAAAAGGTCAATTTGAGCTTGCTCCAAAATTCATAGTCGTTTTTCTTAATTTAGGGTAGGTTAATTAATTTTAATTTTTAAATTGTTACATAAAATCTAAAATAAAAGACGTTAACTGGTGTAACTTAGGAAAGCGATACCAAATTAATCTATTTCTGTTGCAGTTTTGTTGTAATTTTACATTATAATACAAAAAACGTTTATTATTTAACGCAATACTCTAAAATAGATTCTTGAAAATTATACATAAAAGATATATTCTTAGTGCATTTCTAATGAAAAGTTTAATTATATATAATTATATTAAAATTCGAATAAAATATTTATTATGAGAACATTTTGGAAGTAAAATCTCAATATTTAAGTAACAAAGTTAAACGGGTGTTATACGCAAAAAATATTATATTTAGGAGTACTAACGCTATTTCTGAAAATGACAAAAATGCTAAAATCATATTTTACAATGAGAGAAAATAATGAATTTAAGACATGTAGAACTAATGAATTTTGTTTTAAAGTAAATTAAATTAAAATGTTAAGTTGTGTGAATACATTCATTCAACTTATAATGACGTATATATACGTCATATATGAGTTCATATACCAATTATATTAGTACGTAAAATGAATATATAAATAGTAAAAATTAACATATTCTATTTTTGTGTGTGCGTGTGTTTGTGAGTGCTCAATCTCAGTTCTCGCTGGACCGATTTTGATGAAAAATACGTCAAAAGATGACAAATCTTATCTATTCGAAGACATTACAATTGAAAGTTGAAGAAATTTCTCTCGTTCTCTGTAAATGTTGCAAATCCCACAAAAATTTACAATTTTTAAAATCTGCAAAATTTGACATTATTTTCTTAAAACTGCTATAACTTTTGGAAAAATAAACGAATAAACATAATTTTTTTTTATATTGAAATCTTAGATTTTTTTCTTTTATTTAATATAATTTTATTGAAAATTTAACACTTAATTTGCGCACAGGGGCGGATTCAAATTAGCAACTTTTTCACAAAAGTCAATTTTTTTAAATTAACCTTTGAAAATGTTCCGGAAATACTGTGTCCTTTAAACCTATGTTATCTTAAAGCTTATGTTACGTATTATAAATTAAAAACAAAATTGTTCCCGACTGTTTATCTTATTTATGCAAATGGCTGCTGTAGTTAAAAACATGCAATTTTTGAGTTTAAATTTAATTTTTAGTTTGTTTATCTTAAAATACTTTTTAAGGGTTTACCATAGTAATGAATCCACCAATTTTTGTAAAATTTACATGAATCTAACTCACATTAAGTATAAATTTTTACTTGTTTTTATTATTTTGTCTCTTAATTAAGAAAATGTTTTTTGAATTTTTGAAAATTTGTATAAAAATTACTGCATCTTTTAAATATATGTTAAAATAAAGCTTATTTTATGTACTACAAGTTTAAATAAAAAAATTGTACCGACGACCTATTATGTATGTACAAATGGTCTGCCATTTAGATCGAAAAATAGGCATTAATTTTACTTTTGGAATAATACACCAATTTCTTAAAATTAAACTCTATCTACAGATTTGCATTGAAGCATTTCTTATGATAATGATTTTAATCACTGTCAGATATTTATTATTGTCCCAACTATGCTACAACCATACTGTGTGCACGACCCGTTTACAGTGCTGCCGTTTGTGTTCCTGATAACATTGTTTACAAAGTAATTGAATACAAAGTTAGGCAATAATGCGTTAAAAATTAAAAATTAAGTTGAAATAATAAGTTGGATTAATTAATTTTGATAAGTAGTTATTTTTTTGGTGGGTTTAACTTTTAATTAATTTAAGTAGTTACTTTTTTAACCAAAATAATGTTTTAAATTCAAGCGCATTGCAATAAAGTAATAGTAAAATATTTGCTATTTACTTTTAATCTAACTAACTTAAAAAATATACAAAATTTCAATTTTAATTTAACTAAACATTTGTCTTTTAAAATTAACTTCATTTTGACGAGTTAAAAGAAATTTAAAAGCTTTTCACAGCCTTGAAATAAGAAGATATTAAAGTAAATTAAATAAACAAATCACTGAGGTTATAAATGAATCTAATTTTTATTAATATAGGTATTTTCTTAAAAATACGTACAATTAAGTCTTTAACACAAATAATTTTTACTATGACACTATTCAATATATAAGGCAAGAGGTATAGGGCGTTATAAGTATTTCAATTAAATATATACATACATTGATATACTTATAAATTTATACTGATTGTAATGTACAAATGAGTTAAATAAAACCCAATTTTACCAGTATCACAAGCTCAAGGGTTATATTTAAACTATTATAATGATATTCATTTATAAACTTATCATTGGTATATCTATTAAAGTATATTTGTATATACTAATAACCAATAACTAATTATTATATTTTAATGGATACACTATTGATCTATGTACCCTATTCAATTTTTAATTAAATTTATTATCAAAAAAAATGTATATTTTTAAAAATTTCAAATAATATCGTACAAATTCTACAAAAATTATAGTGTTATAAAATATACTTTTTATGAAATAGTAATGAACACAAATTCAAGGGATATTTTGCCCATGTACACTCAAAGATTTAATACACAACAATTTAAACATTATATTACATACACTACGAAATTTATACTTTTTTAATTCTTTTTAAATATAACTAAAAAAACTCTGCTATACTATTTTTGGATTTTTTTAAAATATAATATGCTAAAAATAATAGCCTTATAATTTTAACTTACAAATAATAAATATAATAATATTAATAGTAAACCGCGGTACGGTGTGATATACCGCCGTACAGTTAAATGTTACACATAAGTATAAATAAAAAAATTATGAAGAGAAGATAAAAAGAAAACAATAATTTTTGTACAAAAATAGTCAGTCGAAAAAGATAACTGACGGCGGCAAAATAAAAAAAATATACACGGGTTCTTAATTATTTCACTTAGGAGATACGTAGAAATATGTATCGTAAAAATGTTGGTGAAAGGAATTGACCATTGAAAATGTTTAAATAATCACGAAGAATCGCTTAATTTTGATACAAATGCTCTATTTCTCATCGAAGATTCACCAGACAAAAACGCTGTTTGAGGTGTACCTTCAATAGGGTTGGAGTATGCTGGTCCTCTGAATATCTCTTCACTGGAATCGCCATCAGTAACTGCTGGAAGGAAACAAGGTGTTGAAGATATATTGGACCAGAATGATTTCTGTTGTCCAGACACCTGTTTCGGAACATTATTTTCTTTGGTGTAAATTTCGTTGGCTGTATTTCCAGCATATTTTTTCTTTTGAGCAGCTTTGGCCTTGTCGTCCTTTAAAAAAAATATACCAAATAAGATATTTAATATACTGTTTTTTGAATATTTTGTATTGATGTACTTACTCTCTTTTTGTATGATTGTTTATAAAAATTAGAGAACAAGAAGTAAAACATAACAGCGTGCAATAAGATGATCCAAGCAAATGCTTTTGGATAGTCACAATCAATGAATAATAGTTGGGATGCGTGAACAAACACCATTATAAATTGAACCTAAAATATAAAATANAGCAAATGCTTTTGGATAGTCACAATCAATGAATAATAGTTGGGATGCGTGAACAAACACCATTATAAATTGAACCTAAAATAGTATATATAGTATATATAAAATAGTAATGTTAAATGTTAAATGCGAGAAAAGAACTTATCAATACAATTACCATTTGTAATAAAGTTAGATATTTTTTCCACCATAAGTACTTTTGCATTTGAGGTCCAATGGCAGCTAGCATATAGTACGTATACATGATAATGTGTACAAATGTGTTGAGTAAACCAAAGAATGTACTATGACCACCTGGTGTGAATTTAACGCCGAACCACACGCTCATTGGCATAACGCCGTGGTGAATGACGTGCAACGTAGACACTTGATCATATTTTTTTCGCATGACAAAAAAGAACTAGAATTTGAAAAATTCAAAATTATACAACTGTTGATAGTTTGTTTTGTGAGAGTCTTACAGTGTCAAAGAATTCCGTAAATTTAGAAAAATAATACCACCAGCAACCACGTGCTACCTGAAAATTAAACAATACAACCAACGTTAATTTCAAACGATATGTACAACACGGCGTTGTGGTTATACTATCTTAGTACAAGTGTGTTTATTTCTTTCGTTGAACATACGGCACTTTTAATTTCAGCATATTATCAAAGTATAAGTATACTTACCCTCATGGCTTCGGGAGATGTCGAGTAATCAACTGGTTGACATCTTAAGCTATAGCCTCGACCCCAAGCCGCGTCCCAGGCCTCCCAGAAGATCCAAGCAGAAAATATCACTTGTAAAAAGTTATAGATGATCAAGGTTTTTCTAAGTTGGAATGGTTTCCGATCTCTCATCAATCTTGGTCCTAACACTTTGACAATAAACGCGTATGACAAACACGTGATTAATGTAGGCAAAGGACTGCTCATTAGGAACCAATCCTTAACCCTGGGATCTGTAATAAAAACAATAACCATTATTTATGAATTTCACTGACACAATCATAATGAGTAATCAATTGAAAAAAAAATATTTACCACTGTAATCGTTCATTAGAGTGTTGTAACCTCGTGAAATTTGACTCCACATTTTAATGTGTCAATTTTGATCAAATAGAAAATTGAATTTAACCTGAAAAGAAAAAAATACATATGAATTATATGAAATAATTAATGACCTTAAAAACACGGAACTAAAAATACAATTTTTGTCACATAAAGTAATATACGGATAAATAAATAACCTGGTTTACATAAGAAATTAATCTTACATTTGTATGTATTTTAGTAGCAATTATGTCTGATAGAATCGCTTGAAATATATTTTAAGCAGAAAAATATGTTGTCATCGTGTTAGTTTGAATTTATTTTTTAATGAATAGTATAAAGTTATATTATATAATATGATTGTATGGTATTTAAGACAAAAATAATTGTTTAATCAACTAATATTAATTGCATAATAAATGAAATTAATTTGAATTAATTTTACAATGAAAAATAATTTCGATGAAATTTTAGGAGCTTGATTAATTTTGCATAATTATTGCTGGGGAGTACATTTTTCTTAAGTAATAAATTAAATAAAGAAAAGTAAATATAGAGAAATAAAAGGAGTAACGCATGAGGTGGCATATATTTATTTCTTGTATAGGATAGTTGGTGTTGATTTAACGATTACCAAATGGTTTCACGAATGATGCGGTGCGTGCACGTTTTTTTGTCGTTGCAAAACATTCATATCCATTCGAAGTTATATCCTCATATTACAAGTAATAATCAACACACACAGTAATTATTTATTTTAACGACGAAAATGATCAGACGTAGATAATAGAATTAAAAATAAGTTCAAATGTACGCAATCGAATCATAGTTGGTTATAATTTTATTTCCAAACCTCTTTACATTTTTTATTCAGGTGTAATATTAATATTAATTACTATATAATAATAAATAAAAACCTGATACAATCGATACTCGGTACAATGAAAAGAAGATTTAGATAGAAATTTGATAGCGATTAAAATCATTATAATCTAATATTTGATGCAAATCTGTTTATGAAGTATAATGGTTTTATAACGTTCTGTTTACCTAAAATATTATCCTTATTATATAATTTTGCAGTATATAAATGAAATAGTTGAACAGAATTACTCATTACTATTATATAAATTTATATTTAGTAAGATACGATCAAATTTAACAAGTTACGAAAATCAAAATTTACATTATCTTTAATAATATTTAAAAAATAAATATACCAAAACTAAAAAACCCAGCACAGAGGGGTCGCGGCACAGTGGTGACGTGGCATAGTTGGATCAAGTATAATGATATCTGACAGTGATTAAAATCACTATCAAAAATAAACGCTTCGATGCAAATCTTTAGATAGTGTTTAATTTTAAAAAAATTGGTGTTTTATTCCAAAAGCTACTTGATCTGCTGGTTCCTTATTAATATCTCGATTAAGATAAAGTATGTCGAATGAAAAAAGGTTTATTAAAAAATATTATTTCTCATAAAAAAATTGTGTGGATCCATAAACTTTTCAATAAGTTATAGCATTATAAAGTTAAATATAATATAAATAATAAAATCGA